AATTCCCAGCACCCGTGGGACAGTTCATAACAAGATATGCATACATACAAGCAAAACACCTATATATGTAATATAATAAAATAATTTTTAAAAATTAAAATAAAAAGACTGTGGAAAACATATTTTTCTCCATTATTTTCAGCTTCATTTACCTCTTAATTCTCCTTTGCCTGGAAGTGAATTGACCAAGGAACCTTTTCGTTGGGATCAGAGACTATTTGCTTTAGTACTGCGGTTACCTGGCACCATGTCAGTAGAATCAGAACAGTTGACAGGTGTGCCTTTGGATGATTCTGCTATCACACCAATGTGTGAAGTGACAGGAGGTAAGTTTTTTGGTTTTGCTGGGGCTTAAAACAGTTTATCTGAATGGGCTAAAATGTACATTTCAAAATTTGTATTTATTTTTTTCAAACAATATTGATAGACCTGTAGTTATAAAATTGTATGTATTGATGACGGTCTATGGTCTTGACAAGTCAATAGTTGTAGTTACAGTTAGATTTCATGAATGTTAATTTTTTTATACTTACATAGCAAATGGTGGTATTTGAAGTTGTTAAACAAATTGTCTATAAAGATCACCAGTGATTTAGCTGGCATGGTGGTATATACCTTTAATCCCAATACTGAAGAGACATAGGCAGGTTCCTGCGTTCCCAACCAGCCAGGGCTGGCTACATAGTGATTCCCTATCTCAGAATAGAAATATTGTGGTCAGCCATTAATTAATTGTTTAGAAAATACAGACAAGTTATAATCTTAATGTAAAAATTGTTAAAAGAATTTTTTTAACAGAAACTAGAGAAGATGGATAAATCATTTTACAGATAAAATTCTGTTAATCTGAAATTGGTTGAAGAGAAAAAGCAACTTTTTCTATCTTTTTTTTTTTTTTTTTTTAGTTTTTGGTTTTTCGAGACAGGGTTTCTCTCTGGCTTTGGAGGCTGTCCTGGAACTAGCTCTTGTAGACCAGGCTGGTCTCAAACTCACAGAGATCTGCCTGCCTCTGCCTCCCGAGTGCTGGGATTAAAGGCGTGCGCCACCACCACCCGGCTAACTTTTTTCTGTCTTTATAAACTGAGCCTTATTCTATGTAATGTTCCTCTTATGATTTTGTTTATTCTTCCTTAAAATTGGGAAGTACCTACCTTGAATTAATTTCTTTTTTCCCTTTCTCTCTCTTTCTCTTTGTTCTTTCTCTCTCCTTCATTCACTCCCTTTCTCCTCTCTCTGTCTCTTTGTCGCTTTGTCTCTTTCTCTCTCTTTCCTTTCTTAATTTTTTGAGACAGGGTTTCTCTGTGTAGCCCTGGCTGTCTTGGAACTCACTTTGTAGACCAGGCTGGCCTCAACTCACAGAGACCCACCTGTCTCTGCCTCACGAGTTCTGGGATTAAAGGCATGCACCACCTCTGCCTGGCTATATTGAATTTCTATTAGTTGTCAGAAACCTTACTATAGTTTTTCCAGGAAGTAGACTTCTTGCAACTAACTAGTTCATTCTTTTTATCTCAGGCCGCTCATACTCTGTATGCTCTCCAAGAATGCTTAATCAGTGTCTGGAATCCTTGGTGCAGAAAGTACAAAGTGGGGTGGTAATAAACTTTGAAAAGGCAGGACCAGATCCTTCCCCTGTAGAAGGTATTGTTGTATTTTTCCGTACAATCATCGTCAGTTTGATTTAATGACTTAATTGAACTAGACGCTTCCCCCAGAGTGAGTGAGTGTGTGTGTGTGTGTGTGTGTGTGTGTGTGTGTGTGTGTGTGTGTGTGTGTGTGTGAGAGAGGGAGAGAGAGAGAGAGAGAGAGAGAGAGAGAGAGAGAGAAAGAGAGTGAGTGTTGGCCTTGAAGATCAATAAGGCTAGCTGAGTGTGATGGGCCGCAATTTAAATCCAAGCATCTGGGAAGCAGGGGTGGGTAGATCTCTGAGTTCAAGACCAGCAGGACAGCCAGGGTTACACAGAGAAATCCTATCTCAAAATAAAATAATAAAATTTAAGATTAACAAAGGCAGTTTTCATGGGTACAGAAAGGAAGATAGTAAGAATATTAGTATAAACTGGTGGTTTAGGAGCATCAACTTTTTTGTAATAAAGATTGTTGTCTGAAGTTTTAGAGGACCAAACACTCTTTTAACTGTCTATAGATAGAGCAAACTCATATTTCCTTTTTACTTTTAGATCATTGACTTTAGTAATTTGCCTTTCCTATGCTTGGTAAGTCTTATGTTCTACCTGAGATGCTTATTCAGTTCTTTAGCTACTGTTGCTGTAAGCATAAGGACATAATGGTTTGTGTGGACACCAAAATGAGAAGCCAGTCTTTGCTGTTGAGGTTGGTTCATTAAACATCCAGCTCTGCTCCACCTGACTTTATTCTCTGCTTGGTGTCCATAAACTATATATAACAGCCAGTGGATCTGAGGGTTTCCATAGATCCCATGACAGTTATCCATAGCTTCAGAATTAGAGTATCAGAGGCAGTTTGCTATGGTAATTGACTAGAGAATGGTTGAGAGAAGAAAAAGGCCATGGGGTGAGTTAATGAGAACACTCAGAGGTGATCCAGGGAGGGATCAGATGACAGGAAGACTATAGTGAATCATTGTGTCAAGTTTATATAATAAAAAATTTTAAAGGTTATTAGAATGTATTTTCTTTACAATTATTTTAATGTTTGATTTAGGCCTAAGTCTAAACTGAGTAAAATGTTTATTGAATTCTTTCAGAGAATTTCTGTTTTGCTAGAATTGATTGAAGGTAATTTAGCTAGTTTTTCTTTTGCCATGGTTAGCCTTTAATTCTAAGGTTGTTGTATCTTTTAACTGTGTGTGCAGTGGATTCAGTCCAGGTACTTTCCTTGATTGATAAGTGACCCACCATTAGCAATACTTTGATGCTATTTACTGTGTGTCTGGCACTGTTTTGATAGTGGATATACAGAGATAAAGAATGCAAAGTGAGTGCTTGCCTTTATCCTCTGGCAGGGAAAGTATGTAATTTATTAAATTCACTGTGAAATTTGTTTTACACATTCTGATTGGGTGAGCGAAAGATAAAACCTTTGGGTTGATGAAATCAAATTTGAAATGGGCAGATTTTACTAGCTAGTGAACTGCAGTCTAATTTAATTGTTAAGCAGTCATGGTATTCCCACTTAAGAAATAGAGGAAAGTTCATGTATCAACAGGCACTAGAATATTTTTTAATGAATATTAATGGATGTAATTTTTTGTCCCTTAATGTTGTGTTTTCTTTGTTCTAACTTCCTTGCTGTAGATGGGCAGCCAGATATATCAAGACCTTTTGGATCTCAGCCTTGGCATAGCTGTCACAAACTAATATATGTCAGACCAAATCCTAAAACCGGGGTTCCTATAGGACACTGGCCTGTTCCAGAGTCTTTTTGGCCAGATCAGAATTCTCCAACACTAGTAAGTACCAGAGAGACCATAGCCACTCGATGATAACCATGTAGATGGTAAAACCCTAGATGGCTTGTTTTGTGGAGCTCCTTGTTTTTGAGAGACGGTCCTGCCATGCTGCTGAGGCCTTCTTGAGCTAACTGTGTAGCACAGGCTGGCTTGAAGCATAATGTGATTTTTAAGACCAATTGTTATTTAAAGGTGTGGTTTCTTACAGAAATCAGACAGATATATAAAGTGCTATGAGCCATTATTTGCTTCCACTTATGGTGTTATGAAGCAAGAGAAAAAAAGTATCTTGTTTTCCTTTGGAATTTAATACTATCTTATCTTTTTGTTACTGATATTAGATACTGAATTGTAAATGTAGTAAGATTTCCTTATTTGGATTTTGTTTTGTTTTGAGACAGGGTTTCTTTGTGTGGCCTTGACTGTTCTAGAACTAGCTCACAGAGATAGTTGTCCTAGAACTCATAGATATCAGCCTGCCTCTTCCTCCCGAGTGCTGGGGTTAAAGGTGTGCACTACTGCCATGTTTATTTGTATTTTAATTGTAATGTAGCATGAGGATTTATCCTTGGGGTGCAATTTAAATTTAAATGAAGGCTTAGAATACTTGTGATAGTTTGCCTGTAAATCTTTCGGGTCATAGTCTTGAAATCCATGATCACTTGTACACCTGTAGTTGTGTTCATTGTTGCAACTTGGAAGTTTAGCTTATAGGGATTTTTCTTATTTTGCCTACATGAATTGTTTTATAAATATTGATGGTTGTTAAATAATCATGATACATTATCAGTATTCTTTATGGTAGAAAAAATTTAAAAACCTAAATAGCTATTATAATTAATTTTTTATAAATTGTTATACTATAACTTACAGAATAAAATCATAATAAAAAATCATACCTATTCAGACTTGCTTAATCGACTATTTTTTCAGATTAGTTCTTTTTTTGTAGTGTCTACCTTGTTTATTCTTTTTTCTTTTCCTTTTAAATGTATTTAATTTTTTGGTTTGCCCTTATGAACAATTTTTCCATTTCATTGGTGATTTTTCCTTTTTTTTTCCAGAACTTTTTTTGAACTCTTTCCATATTTTTATGAAATATCATCTTGGTTATTAATGCTATCATATTAATGACTGCAGTATCTATAGTATTTCATGGAAAGTGAAAAATAATGGAAGTTAAAAAAAAAAAAGGAACAAGGTGCATTTAGAGGAGGGGAGAGGTAACTGGAATACTGTTAAATAAACCAAACTGCTTGTGGCTTAAAATACAAGAGATTAGGGAATGTGAGCTTTCCCAGAGTGCATTTGAAGTTGTTTTTAAGGAGTCACCACTTCAGGAAAGTAACTTGGTTTTTATTTGGAGCAAATTAAGAAGTTGGAAGGGTAGGTAGTTTACCTGCTGGGTTAGTAATATGGTTTATTTGAGATACTTTTTTTTTTTTCTAAAATGATGAAAGAGAATCATGAGAAATAATACTGGAAAGAGCTCTTTAAAATTTGGTAATTGAAGGCTATTAGCAGGGGAATGGCATTTCTACAAATTATAATTTTCAAATAAATATTGTTACTGAAGTTAAAAGTGATTTCCCCACTAACTGTGGGCCTCTGGATCATCTCTCTTGTCTTTTAAGATTGTTTTGGGAGTTAAATGGAAATATATAAGAGAATCTTCTGTAACTAAATATAGAGGGTTTTCTTCCTGGAAAAGGAAAGAGAAATTTTTAAGAGTACTTGAAAGATATTAGACAAACTTAAAATATTTAAAACCTTTATTTAAAGTTACAGTATTTGGGTAAAATACCTCCCCTTCCGAAAATATGTTTAAACAAAATGCAGCAAGGCAAGAGTAGATTGAACATCTTGAACATTACCAGTTTGGGGGCAGATCCTCAGGCATATGTAAAGTTTTGTGGACTGCAAGAGCAGGGCAGAATGACAGGAAATGGTACTGAATTGCTTGGTCGGTGTGTGTTTGGAGTGCATATTAGGAAGAGATACTAGAAAATGCTCCCAGAGATTGGTTCTTGGCAACTTACTCATGCTCTGAAATTTAGTTTTTGGTTTTTCGAGACAGGGTTTCTCTGGTTTTGGAGGCTGTCCTGGAAGTAGCTCTTGTAGACCAGGCTGTTCTCGAACTCACAGAGATCCGCCTGCCTCTGCCTCCCGAGTGCTGGGATTAAAGGTGTGAGCCACCAACGCACGGCTGAAATTTAGTTTTAAAGGAGAAAATGATGAAGGAATCAGAATGAACACAGGGGCAAGAAAGATGATAAGCTATTCATGCAACTAACTATATGTGGGCAGCTTGACTGGAGCATGAAGTCTGTCTGTAGGTCATGACTGAATAATGATTTAGAGACCAAAGCAGTAAGGCTTTTATTTGAGAAATTAAAGGAGTTTGGGACCCTGCCCCCTTTTTGTGATGGCTACTACTTTTACTATTTTTTACTAAATTTTGCATAATTTTTTAGGTAGGGAACTACATAAAATGACAGCATGGTTATTGGAGTGGGCTAACTAGTCAGGGATTCTGATTAAAAACGCAATTAATTGTTAAACTGAAGATTTGAACTGAAGTGGTAAAGATTAGTTGCTAAAATTGGGGATTTGATACTGTCCAAAAGAAGGTGGCAGCAGCTAGCACTGAACATGAATCCTGTTTATGTTCTGGTAAGTTCCTCCGAAATGCACTGTTACTTTGTCTACGTCTTCGACAGGTAAAATGGCAAGGTTATTAGAAGAGGACTTGTCGTTTGGAGAGAAATAAATTAGATCTAATTTATCTGAAGGCTGTGTAAGAGTCAGAATATGTCCGACTCTTAATATATATATATATATATATTAGTAGACAACTGTAGACATACAGGAAATAAGATAATTTTAATCCTTGAATATAGATTTGAGAGCCACCAGAGTATAGATAGCTCTGAAGCCAACTGAGTCCTTTCTGGCAATGAAATCTCAAATTTTAGTTCATATATTTTTCCTGACTGATGAGGTTTTTTATAAAGAAGACTGACTATATTGGGAGATAAAGAAGTTAGTATCACGTCTTTTTTTTCCTGTACATATATTTTTATCGTCTTTTAATAATTTCACTGTTAGGTGAGATACTCTGAGACTCATTTATTTTACAATGCTATTAGCACACTAGATCCAAAACTTACCTCCACTAGTGAATTACCAGTGAAACTCATATCTATACATCAGCAACTTAAATCCATTTACATTTCAATAACTACTTATTTTACACCATCAAAAGGGTCTTAGGACTGTGTTATTAATTTTAAAATGAGAAAATCTCTTACTTATCACAGCTATACACCAATATCTTAAAGTCCTGTATTGTCCCACTCTTTTCCTTAAAATTATATTCCAAATATATCTTTAAATACCTATTCACAAGAAGTCCTGATTTCTTCTGGGCTTTTTATTATTGAGGTACAGTATCTATGCTGGTCAGCCCTCTACTGTGTTTGCTTCTTAACTACATTAAAACAGTGCAAGTGTAAACATTCGTTGGGAGCACTGTGGAAAGCACATAAAACAATGGGTTAGACATAGAAGAAAAACTGAGGACATGTGATTGTTGTGTCCTGTCGCTAGAAATGTACTAGCAAGTTGGTACTGTGCATGAGTACAATTTAAGACTGCTCCCCAACTTTTTTTTTCATTTTAATTGTTTATTGTTGCAGAATAAAGCACCTCAAAGCTGAACATCTTAAGATAGTCACTGTTTTTTGTTTGTGTTTTTTTTATCATTTTTTATTTGAAATTAGAAACAAGATTGATTTATATGACAGTCCCAGTTCCCTTCTCCCTCCATTCCTCCCCTACCACCCCCCCCAACCAAAACCCTACCTATCACATACCCTTTCTTCTATTCTTCACCTGACTCAACCTTTCTGCTCCCTCATGACCTCTGTATCCTTCCTCTTCTTCCCTTCTCATTCTCATAGCTTCCTCCCCCCTTCCCCATGCTCTCAATTTGCTCAGGAGATCTTGTCCCTTTCCCCTTCTCTGGGGGAACATGTATGTCTCTCTTAGGGTCCTCCTTGTTTCTTGGCTTCTCTGGCGGTGTGGATTGTATACTGGTAATCCTTTGCTGTATGTCTAATGTCCATATATGAATGAGTACATACCATGTTTGTCTTTTTGTGACTGGGTCACCTCACTAAGGATGGTTTCTTCTAGTTCCATCTATTTGCCTGTGAATTTCAAGATTCCATTGTGGTCTCTCCCCCCCCCCCCCTGCTGAGTAGTACTCCATTGTGTAAATGTACCACATTTTCTCTCTCCATTCTTCAGTTGAGGGCATTTAGGTTGCTTCAAGGTTCTGGCTATTACAAATAATGCTGCTACGAACATAGTTGAACAGATGACAGATGTCCTTGTATGAATGTGCCTCTTTTGGGTATATGTCTAGGAGTGGAATTGCTGGATCTTTTGGTAGACTGATTCCATTTTCTTGAGGAACCAACATACTGATTTCCAAAGTTGCTGTACGAGTTTGCAGTCCCACCAGCAGTGGAGGAGTGTTCCCCTTTCTCCACATCCTCTCCAGCATAAACTGTCATTGGTGTTTTTGATTTTGGCCATTCTAGCAGGAGTAAGATGGTATCTCAAAGTATATCTCGTCTTTTTTAAATTAATTATTTTATTATTTCTACAGTGTTCTTCCTGCATGTAGCCCTGCAGGCCAGAAGAGGGCACCAGATCTTATTATGGATGGTTGTGAGCCATTATGTGGTTGCTGGGAATTGAACTCAGGACATCTGGAAGAGCAGTCAGTGCTCTTAGTCTCTGAGCCATCTCTCCAGACCCGTATCATATCTTTTTTAAGTGTTACGTTTATGCCTCTAGGACAGGGATCTTCAAAATAAGGGGTTAGGTACCTTAGGAATAAATATACCAAATGAATAACCTGTCAGAGGAATCCATTGGGGAATATATAAATAAAATTTGTATCTTTTATTATATATACATTCTATTATGTATATCTGTTAATAGTTTATAAATAGTATTTGAATATTATATATTCAGAAATTAATCAAGGAATGATTAGTTTGGAAGTTACTGCTCTATATATGTAATTAATTGCCACAAATGAAGACTTGTCTATTTCTTCTTTCTTGGGTATAAAAATAGTGAATGGCTTTTAATTCTAAATTAGTTGAATGCTTTTATTCTAAATTTTGCATTTATGATAAATTTAATTAAAATTTAGTTTTTCATTTTGCAGGTTTTGATGTTTTTCTTTTTTCTTGGAGATATTACATAATTTAAACATTGATTTGTTTTTCCAGCTTAATGGTATTTATTTCTAGTAAATCAAACTTACAAAACTGAGGAAGTAAACTTTGATAAGAGCAAGGTACTTAAAAATGTGTTGGTTTCTGGTATTTTGTTAAATAGTAATGAGATTTTCCCCTCCAGCCACCTCGCACATCTCATCCCGTAGTGAAGTTTTCGTGTACAGACTGTGAGCCAATGGTTATTGACAAACTGCCTTTTGACAAGTATGAGTTGGAACCTTCACCGCTGACTCAGTTTATTCTAGAAAGGAAATCTCCTCAAACATGTTGGCAGGTAAGCTGAAACACTTCAGTGTATAAAATGTTCAGGCGAAATCTTCCTTCCTTCCTTCCTTCCTTCCTTCCTTCCTTCCTTCCTTCCTCCCTCCCTCCCTCCCTCCCCCTCTCTCTGCTCCCTCCCCCTTTCTCTCCTTCCCTCTATCCCTTCCTCACTAGGGTTTCTATGTTTAATAGCCCTGGCTGTCCTAGAACTCACTCTGTAGACTAGGCTGGGCTCGAACTCACTGAGATGTGCCTGCTTCTACCTCCTGAGTGCTGGGAATTAAAGGAGTGTGCCACCACCACCTGTCCCCGAGATGTTTCTTATAAAGCTAAACTGGGGTACTGGAGAGATGGGCCAGTCAGTAATGTATCCTGCTGTAAAAGCACAAAGATCTGATAATCCAGATTTTGGGTTCCCAGAACCCGTGTAAAAAGCCAGGCACAACAGCCTATCCTCGAATTGGGGAGGAGACCTGGGATTCATTGACTGGATAGTCTGGCTGAAATGGTGAGCTCTAGATTCAGTAAGAAACCATGTCTCAAAGAATAAAACAGAGAACAATTGAGGAGGACACCCAGGGTCAACCTCTGGCTTCCACACATACCTGCATATACACGTGTATACATATACACACAAGCAAACTGAATTAATCCATGGTTTGCATAGCATCCACTGCAGGTTTATTGAATATGGATTCTAACTTTTCTTTTTAAACAGGTATATGTGAGCAATAGTGCAAAGTATAATGAACTTGGTCATCCCTTTGGTTACTTGAAAGCTAGTACAGCACTGAACTGTGTCAACTTATTTGTGATGCCTTACAATTACCCAGTCCTCCTTCCTCTCTTAGGTAAGTCATTCTTGTCATGTGTTCTTCTTATCTCTGGAAATTAATGAGAATGCTAAACATATTTAAGAGCATTTCAGTTATAACCTGCTTTTGTTTATGATAAATTAAGTGTTTGTGAAATCCTTACATTTTACAAACAGAGGTACTACTATATCTAAAAGTTTTAAAATTAAATATTCTTATAAACGATGCTTTCTGGTGAAGATTTTCTGCTTAATGCACAGAGCATGCTAAATTCATTAAAATCTGAGTACATGTTCTAAGAATTTACCCAACTTTCTATTTGGAAAACAGTTTCGTATGAGTATGTACATGTGGAAGTGACAGGTCATCCTTGTGTATTATTGTTCAAGGAACCATCCATTCAGTAATGGTTGGGTTGTTTAATTTTATGTTTATTTTTATATAAAAACATGTGATCATGTATACATATGTGTCATGATGCATGTTTGGCAGTCAGGACCACTTGTGGGAGTTGGTTTTCCTTTTACCATATGGATGTTGAGGATAGGATTCAGGTGGTTTGGCTTTGTTGCAAGTACCTTAACCCATTCAGCCATCTTACCTGCCCAGAAAATACATTTATAATCCAGGAATTTGTTCTAACATGGGAAAGCCCAGTGTTTGTTTTCAGGCTCAATCTGGCTGTCATTTTTGAAGAGTGCTGAGAAACAATCCTTCCACAAAACACCAGATTTAAAAGTTGTAGTGAAGATATTATAGGGTTTTTGTTTTTTTTTTTTTGTAGGAACTATTGTACATACTTGGTTTTCTAGCAGGATATAACATTTTCTTTTCCTTGTGTATTTTCTGATGCTATTTCATTAATACATAGACCATAATTTTAGACCATAATTAATACCATTTCACCTTTAAATTTGAGTTACAAACAAGAACCTAGAGCTAGGTTTCCTGCTCTTTGTTAAGATTTTCTGGTGTTACTGCCTCAGCAGTAACAACCAAGCTGACTTGAGGAGCTTTGACTAGATCACAGTGAGTAATGCTGCTCTCCTGTTGACTGTTCCCAGATGACTTGTTCAAAGTGCACAAAGCAAAGCCAACGCTCAAGTGGAGACAGTCATTTGAAAGTTATTTGAAGACAATGCCTCCCTACTATCTTGGGGTAAGAATAACATTGTTAAAATAGACCTTAATGCTTATAGCTTATTGTTGGTATTACAACCTTTTACTCATCACTGTAGATGACATGAAAATTGAATGTACAGATGACTTACTTTGAGTATAATGATGTAAATTTTAGTGGCTTATAGAATAATTGTGGTTGTGAAAATATGTGAATACTGTATAGCAGAGGTCAGGTACTGTCTTAGTGTGATGTGTCTGTTAATGGTGTTTACTCCTTACAGTCACAGATGTAGGTCAGGAATCAAAAGTAAAGTGGTTATTCCTAGCTCTAGTTTCTACTTTAATGCAAGAATTTTCTATTTTTGTCTAGAACTAATCTTTCTAAGCAGCCCCCTTGTATCATAAGATTAATAACTTGGTTTTATGATTTTAAGCATTTAGTCTAGCACAGGGTGCTTGTCCTGTTAGAGAGTAAGAAAGGACCTGTAGATATCTCAACTCAGTTATCTTTCATAGCAATCTTTAAAACTTAGCCAGAGCTTCATGAGCATTCAATATGAGCTCTGGGATTTGATTTCAGGAGACGCCAGTACATAGGCACTTTCCATGCCATTGGTTTTCTGGCGGTGTCTCATCTACATAGATTAGGCATGCTTGCTGGTGATATTTTACTGTGTCAAGAGACTTTGAATTAGCACCTACTTACTACTGAAGATTTTTACTGTTATATGTGTGTTGTAAAGTTTTTATTCTGCTATTTTGTTTCTTTTTCCTCTTCAGAGCTTGTTTGCTTTTCAGCTCAGGTAATGATAGTAATAGTGAGGGTGGAGACCTGTTGAATGTTTACTGTATGCCAGGTGCTTTATAATATAAGGCTTCCCATGCATTAACTCACATAATTCCATGACACCTGATCAAGATAGACATTACTGTCCTCCCTTTGAAAGTGAAAGCTAAAAGAGGAGAATCTGTCACTAGTTCAGCTGGTGTGCTAAGCTGCAGTTCAGCTGCTTACCCTTGGGTGGCAGTCAGACTGGCCCCATGGTGTGTCTGCTCCTGTCTTCCACATGAGTCCATGGTACTGAGCACTTCAGGACTTCAAACTTACTGCCCTGGAATAGATTATTATGCTTCTAATACATGTTAACTATCTTTAGTTGCTTTTCATGCTACTTATAAACATTTTATTAAAATACAAATAATTACTATATTATGTTACTTTTAAGACAAAGAATGCAATTTGGGGTGAGAAGTTTTAAAAAGTCACTATATAGAACATTTTTAACAAACTTGACATTGAATGCTGTTTTCTTTTCTATAGCCCTTGAAGAAAGCTGTTAGGATGATGGGTGCACCTAATCTTATAGCAGACAGTATGGAGTATGGACTCAGTTACAGTGTCATTTCATACCTCAAAAAATTGAGTCAGCAGGTAATGTCAGAAAGTGGAAATGAGCATTAAGAATTTGTCTGATAGCTGGCTGGGCAGTGGTGGTGTATGCCTTTCATACCAGCACTCATGAGGCAGAATCAGGTGGATCTCTGTCAGTTCGAGGCCAGCCTGGTCTACAAGGTGAGTTCCAGGACAGCCAGAGCTGTTAATACAGAGAAACCCCATCTCATAAAACAAACAAACAAGAAAAAGAATTTGATTGATAGCTAAGATGGTTAATAGTCTAGAAGCTAGTTCTTGATAACTTTCCTCTTTATTGGTGTGGTGCTGGGATCAAACCCACATGGTGGGCGAGCACTTTGCAACTTATCTAAGATTGTTGGCTAACACTTTCTTTTATTTTGAGGCAAGTTAGTCCACTCTAGACTAGAATTTGGCAATCCTGTTTGAGTCTCTTGAGTAGCTATGATTGCACCATAGCCAACAGACTACAAGCTAGTTCTTGCTGGTTCTAAATTTTTAGTAATTCTCATTTATGAATATGGCTTAATTTCTATACATGATTATTGTGAGTTTTTTGTTTTTGTTTTTTGAGAAATTATTTTAGAAAGCTCTTTCCCTTAGGGAAAAAAGTACCATTTCATTTTGCTTCGTGTTTTAAAACCATAATTTTTTGGAACTGTTTCTTTGGAATTGTTTGTAAAACCTTGGGATTGTATTATTCTAGCTATAAGTTCTATGAATAAATACTGTGAATATCAAGCAGTAGGCAATTGACTTCCATCCAAACTGTGTCTTTTAAAATAATTTTCCTAGTATTTTAGACATCTCTCTCAAACTTAGAACGAATCAAAATGTGGCTAAAGTTTACATCAGTGTTTGCCACATCTATAAATGTGTAGTTATGTGTTAATCATAATGTCTTCAAACAATTTGGTGTCTTATTTCCTGTAGCCTCTGAATTGGGAATGTTTTCTTTTATGAAACATTTATAGTTAATGGTTTATGTGCAATGGGCATTAATAAATAAAATAACCTGAAGGAATGTTTGTCTTGCTGCAAAAGTTTAGAGTTGTAATTTTTTTGTTTTTGTTTTTGTTTGAGACAGGGCTTCTTTGCAGCTCACTCTGTAGAACAGGCTGTCCTCAAATTCAGACATCTCCCTGCCTCTGCCTCCCAAGTGCTGGATCAAAGGCCTGCTCCACCTCTACCTGGTTGAATTGTAATTATTTTAATTGATAAGGTATTGTTATTTAAGGTATGTTTGGTTTACTAGTTCTCAATGTAAGCTGTGATTATTTGAGACTTTATTTTTTCCAGTGCAATAAATAATTTATGAAAGGGCATATTCCCTAATATCAGATTTATAAACTTAGATTATATTGATGCAATTCTTGTTTCTTTTTTATTTTAGGCCAAAATTGAATCTGATAGAGTCATCGGATCCGTAGGCAAAAAAGTAGTGCAGGAAACTGGAATTAAAGTCCGAAGTCGGTCACATGGTTTGTCAATGGCACATAGGAAAGGTTTTCAACAAGTTCTGCAGGGAATTTCAGAGGATGTCCCCCACAGGCTGCTAGACCTTAATATGAAGGAGTACACTGGGTTCCAGGTTGCTTTACTAAATAAGGTAACAATCAGCTTAAAACTGCTTTAGTTGTGTTGTATTCTTTATAGAGCAAGTCATAGTTTATATAGCTAGCATTCAATTTGTCTGAGCTTCAAGAGGCCCTTTTATATGGCTGCATAATGATACTCATTGTATTACCACTGAACATTGAGTTTTGGAATTCAAACAGAAATTGTATATGGCGTGATGAGTTGAGTGATGAGTAGTATTTCTTTTATAGATGTAAACAAAGACTTAAAGATTTCTAAAAAAATTATAGAGCTGATATTAGAATTCACTTACATTGAAGACCTTAAAATACTTTATACTCATTATTAAAACTATTTTTATTTCAGAAGTCTTTTTGTAGGCAATATCCAAACTGATTCTAACATTTATATGGAAATATAAAGGGTCTGGAATAGCTGAACCAATTTTGGAACAGGAATAAAGTTGGAGGACTGAAACTACATGATTTAGAACTGTAAAAATTGCAGTAATTATATTGAGATTTTTGTATATGGTTAAATACACAGAGGAGAAGTAGAATGGAATAGACTAGAAGCAGGTTCTCTCACACACAGTCATTTAACAGAGGTGCCATGACAATCAAAATGGAAAAAAGACTTTTAAACAGTACAACAACAATGGATATTCCTATACAAAATAATTAACTAGACCCTTGCCTCACATTATTTGAAATAATCATGGTCATAAATAGAAAAATTAAACCTTAAGCTTACAGAAGAAAAACAAAAGTCTTCATGATGTTTTAATCTAATGACGATTCTTGTAATATAACATAAATTAAACATAAACAAAAAATTGTTGGTAAATTGAACTTTTTAAAAATTAAAGAATTGCTCTTCAGTGAAGTGTTGTAACAAGATGTAGTTGAATGGTAGAGTGAGTGCCTCGCATCTGAGAGTCCCTGTTTTCACCCTCTTTATTCTATACATTAAAGAAAGAAGAAGAAAAGAAAACAAAATAGGCAAGGTACAGGTCAGAGAAACACATAACATCTGATAAAGGACTGGTTTCAAAATAGTTGACATCCAACTCACAAATAAAACATTGAATATCCCAGTAAAAATAACTAAAATAACACAACTGAAGAAACACAAACAACACATAGAAAGGTAAATAGCCTTGTTAGCTATCAGAGGAATGCATATTAAAGCATAATGTGATATTCATATTCAGAGTTACTGAAGTGTCTAGTGTTGTTCAGACACAGAAGAATTGGAACTCTCATAAATGAGTGAAGGGAAGGGCTGAAGAGATAGCTCAGCAATTGCTGCCATCCCAGAGGACCTGAGGTTGATTCTTGGCACCCATACTATAGCTCACAGCCATCTGTAACTCTGGCACCAGGGGATCTTGAGGCACTCATCATACATGGTATACCACGCAGGCAAAATACTCACACACATAAAAGTAAACTAATTAAAAATAAACAAATAAATGGCTGAAGGAACATAGCTTATGGTTTCTTAAGAGGTAACACACGTATTTGTTTACAATCAGCAATTCTTATTTGTAAGTAACAAGACAAATGGAAATACATTATCTATATAAGATACGTGTGTCAAATTTTCATAGCCATGTTTATTGTAGCCAGAAAACATCCTTGTTTTATTGTGGAATAAAAAGAAAAAAAAGATGGGTGGTGGTGGCGGCACACACCTTTAATCTCAGCAGGTGGGAGACAGAGGCAGGCCGATCTCTGTGAGTTTGAGGCCAGCCTTGTCTACAGGGTGAGTTTCAGAACAGGCTCCAAAGCTTCAGAGAAACCCTGTATCAAAAAAACAAAACAAAACAAAACAAAAAAAAAAACAGACTAGTGAAGTAAAAGAAGCCAGATTTGAAAAACTTAGGAATTGGAAGATTTTGCATATAACACAGACTGAATATAGGTAGGCAGAAAGCTACCCATACGTAGTGCCTGGGGATGGAAATAGGAACTAATAATAAACATGAAAGTGCTCTAATGGTAGATTGTGATGATGTCACCCAACTATAAACTTACACACTTATCAGGTCACATGTTTTGGTGTCAAATGGTTTCTTCCAGTGTTTAAATAGGGGTTTTATTAAGTAAGTGGTTTGCTTCTCCTAAACACCTTTAACTTTAAAGGTGAGTTTGAAATTATTTTGTTGAGCTTACCATAACATTTCTATCATTTGGCTCTAAACACATTGTATTTAACATTTTATTGTGTGTCTGTTTTCTTTTTTCCTTTTAAAGCTACCTAGTTAACTTACATATTTTATATTTTATTTCTGGTCCTATGCTACAGGCTAAGAGATTTTAATTTTAGACTCTTTTAAATTCTGTTTAGAAATATTTTATCCTTGAATGTGTTTGTGTAGGATTTGAAGCCTCAGACCTTTAGAAATGCTTATGATATACCAAGACGGAATCTTCTGGATCATTTAACAAGAATGAGATCTAATCTTTTAAAGAGCACCCGCAAATTTCTTAAAGGCCAGGATGAAGGTTAGAGTACAATTTTAAATGTTCCTGTTTGTAAAGTAATAACTTTTCTTTATAATTGTAAGGGAATGATAACAAATTTTACAGGCTTATACTCTCATTGTTAATTCAAAAAGTGACATAAAGGGGAATCATTCACACAGATAAACATACACATAATTACAAGTAAAAATTTTTTAAAAGGGTGATTGATCTATTATTTTCTATCTTCCTTCTTACTGTCACTGTTAATCACAAATTCTCTTAACAGTTTATTTCATTTTTAGCCTTCCTCATACCTTCAGATACATGGACATATATAGTCATTTTCTTGCTCTATTTTAGTGTCTGATAGTTTTACTCTGGGTGGCCATTTCATGGCGTATTCTGCTACTTCCTTGATGTATCTATGGTATCTAGTGCAAATCATATCAGATAATCATTAACCCGTTGCTGTGACTTGAACATTCTCACCTCTGGTTTATATTCATCTGATAATTCCACTCTACTGCTTTCTATAAATTCTACTACTATATTTTGCCTAGAAGATAAAATTACTACTTTAAAATTTACTTTTGGAGAATTAAAGGCTCTTATATTTTTAGACTTCCCATATTAACTTCAGTATGTAATAACACAGGATAAATGTAATTGTGTAATTATATTAGTGAGGGTAACTTTTGTTGTTGATATATTCTCTCTGAAAAGATCAAGTGCACAGTGTACCTATAGCACAAATGGGGAATTACCAGGAATACCTCAAGCAAGTACCTTCTCCACTAAGAGAACTTGATCCTGATCAGCCTCGAAGGTTGCATACATTTGGCAATCCCTTTAAACTGGATAAAAAGGTAATCTGAAATGTTCTATGATATAACTTGTTTGTGGTAGCTGTTGTCAATTTAGATAAAATTATTTTCTGGGTAGAGTATCCTATTTAAAAAGTCTCAGTAGTATAGTATTAATTAAAAAATTTAGATTAGTTGTGCTACTTAAAAAGTTTTAATGAGAGGTTGGGGAAATGTCTCAGTGGGCTAAGGACTTGCCTTGCAAGCCTGAAGAACTGAGTTCAAATCTTCAGAACCCATATAAAAGCCAGACACAGTAGCACTCATTTGTAATCCCCAAACTCTGTCAAGTTGGGAGTTAGAGACAGGTGACTCCCAGAAGCTAGTGGGCCAGCTAGCCTGGCACACACAGTGGCAAACAGGAGACCCCCTGTGTCTTAAGCAAGGTGGAAGGTGAAAACAATTACCTGAGATTGTAACCCCTGACTTCCATATGTGTAGTATGGCATGCCCATGTCCATGCTGACATGATTGCATGCACCCCTACACAAATGGCATAGACATTCAAGAAAAGGGCGGGTGGGTATGTATGTATGTATGTATGTATGTATGTATGTATGTATATATTAGAAAAGTAGATAGATACCAGAGGCTATGAGAAGAAGGGTAAAGAAGGGGAAGATAATGATTAAGGGGTACTAAGTCTCAGCTTGAGAACTAAGTTTTAGTGATCTATTGGCAACATTGTAATCCCAATTAATAATAATAATACTAATGTGTTATATATTCCAAAATGGCTAAAAGAACATATTTTTTAACTCTTACGCTCTTTATACTTGAGTTGGTAAGATAATGGCTGTGTTAATTACCTTGATTAAAATTTTTTTTTTTAAGATTTTATTTTTTGGGGGGGCTGGAGAGATGGCTCAGAGGTTAAGAGCACTGACGGCTCTTCCAGAGGTCCTGAGTTCAATTCCCAGCAACCACATGGTGGCTCCCAACCATCCGTTGTGAAACCTGGTGCCCTCTTCTGATGTGCAGATATACATGGAAGCAGAATGTTGTATATATAATAAATAAATAAAATTTTAAAAAAGATTTTATTTTTTACTTACTTGTATAAATTGTGAGTCTGTGAGTTATTCTTCACATATGTGCTTGAGTTTTGGAGGCTAAAAGAGGGTGTTGGATTACTTAGAGTTGGATTTATAGGTGTTTATGAGCTGTCATGTCTGGTTAAGAGCAGTAAGTGCTCTTAGGTTTTGACCCCACAATTCAATCTTTAAAATACAATGAGTGTGTGTCTCTGTGTGTGTGTGTGTGTGTGTGTGTGTGTGTGTGTGTGTGTGTATGTGTTCATGTCATGGCACACACGTGGAAGTCAGAGGACAAAATTTTGTGGAGCCAGTTCTCTGGTTCTTCCACCTTTCTGTGGGTTCTTTCTGGGCTCTGAACTCAGGTCTCCAGGATTGTGAAGCAAAGCTCATTAACCTGCTTTTCTACTGTGCCAGCCCTTGATTGAACCTTTCTACACTTAAATCAAGCTGTTACATTATATGCTATAAATGTGTAGTTATTCATCAGTAAAAATAAGTGGTGGCCATTACATTTTTAAAATTATATATAAATCAACATTTTATATCTGTCAATAGGGTATGATGATAGATGAAGCAGATGAATTTGTGGCTGGACCTCAAAATAAACACAAACGGCCTGGAGAGCCAAACATGCAAGGAATCCCGAAGAGGCGCCGGTGTGCCTCTCCACTCTTGAGAGGTCGGCGGCAGAGCCCTGCTGTGAACAGTCACATCGGAGGGAAAGGACCGCCTGCACCCATGACTCAAGCACAGCCAGGTCTTATTAAACCCCTTCCTCTGCATAAAGGTAGCACTTTGGGGCTTTCAAATACTACTTGCTATTTTGGGGTTCCTAAGGGAAGAGATTTTTATAATAGAAACAGAAAAAGATTGTTCAGCAGAGTCCAGTGAGTATTGTTTATTGTGAATTGGTATCTAGTAGCTTTTGGATGTCTTTTTGATGAACACTTTATATATTCATACTCTATTGTATTACATGTCATGCTCTAAAATGACATTAGTAAATCTCAAAGATTTCACAAATGGTTTTGGAAGGAGTATTTTCACTACAAGCAAAAATACGCTTTTCAGTTTAGTAAAGTGCAACAACTGGCTATTAAATGCATAACTATGCTACATTTATGAGCAAGGCAGTAGTGATCTCTGTCCTCACAGTAGGCAAGGAAAGAAAGTCATATTCAATCAATTACATGTGTGATAAATGTTAGAGTGTTTACATACTGGGGAAGATTTGACATGAAGAATTAATTTCCTGAGAACATTATGTTCGTGGATGAGTATAAATTAAAGCTTTACTTGTGCTAAAGAAAGTATGCATAAAAATATATAAAAAGAAAGGTACTTAAGGAGACCCTAAAGAGTCCCATTATAGGGTTGGTACTGGCGTATTTAATATGAAGAGACTGGAAAGATATTCAGAATCTAGATCATGGATGGCTTTGGAACCTATTGTAAAGATTCTGTTTTATTTTATTTCAGGGACAGTGAGAAACCATTGAAAGGTTTGAAAGAGGTAGTAACTCGGTTAATTAGGATTCTATAATTATATTTGAATATAATGTGGAATATTTTCAGGGAGAATGTATATATGGGAATATAGAACATGAATAAATCAATGTTTTTATTATACATAATGACCCCACTGGCTTACATAACATCTTTTTTGTGGGGGGAGGTGTTTCAAGACAGGGTTTCTCTGTGGCTTTGGAGGCTGTCCTGGAACTAGCTCTTGTAGACCAGGCTGGTCTCGAACTCACAGAGATCCACCTGCCTCTGCCTCCCGAGTGCTGGGATTAAAGGCGCGAGCTTATATAACATCTTAAGTGGAGACAAAACCCAATATTATGTACCATTTGATGGAATTCCATAATACTCCCTCTAAGTTCACCTGATCCTTCTATTGGATATCAGAGTGATCAAGCCTCTAGAGCCTGTAATTCTGCAGGAAATAAAAGAAACAGAAAAATATGTTAACAAAAGAGGGGTAGAGTCAGAAAATTAAGGTCATAAAGAATTTTATAAAACAAAAAAAGTTGGTTGTGTTGTTTTTGTTGTTAGTGAAAAGAGACACAGAAGGCTTATAGTCTGAAGTAGCAGGAAACAAACCAGTTACAATTCAAGGGCCTCATTTGGATCCAGAATCTTTCAAATACAAAATTTATAAAATAACTGAAGGATGTACATGCTGATGGGCTGGTTGATGTCATAATGTAATTATTATTCATCCACAGGGGCTAGTTAGTAAATGCAGACGATTATAACCCGACACTGTGTCTTGAGAAACAATAGGCAAGATGGGAAAAGCAATAGTTGTAAATTTACTTTATTGGTGTGTTGGCAATTTCAAATGCTTTAGAAACAGACCAAGAAAATTGGAAACATTTTTTGGTCTCAGGCTGTTTTGCCAATAATGCTTTTTTTGTGGAGTAAAGGATAGAAAGTTTTTTGATTTTTTTTTTTTTAAAGGATGCAGGGTAAGTGAGAAGAAAAATATTGAGACGAGTATGAAAAATTAGCTCTAGGGCTGGAGAGATGGCTCAGAGGTTAAGAGCACTGACTGCTCTTCCAGAGGTCCTGAGTTCAATTCCCAGCACCCACATGGTGGTTCACAACCATCCAATATGAGATCTGGTGCCGTCTTTTGATGTGCAGATATACATGGAAGCAAAATGTTGTATACATAATAAATAAATAAATAAATAATCTTAAAAAAAAAAACTTACCTCTAAAAGGCAGAGTCTGGTGAATGGTCCAGAAAAATTCAAGGAGATGAAAATGGTGGTTTTGCTTAGGGTGTTTAAATCCTAGCATGGTAGACACATTTTAGACAACGATCAGAAAGAGAGGACATAATCTCCACCAAGAAGGCAAGAGGAAATGGCCCAGAGTGTTGGTGAAAGAATGCTGCTTTTGTTGAACAAAATGGATTTGAGTATAAATTAAGAACAAGGGTGTAGAAGAGATTTCAGGACTTTGTTTTTCTCCCATAAGTAGAAAGTAGATATAATACTGAGATAGAGGGGAGATTGGAAAAGTTAGAACTTAGAAGAGAATAAGGGAAGCTGAATAACATCTGTGGGAGAAGGAGAAGATGTTGTGGTCTGCTTGCTAAGCAGTGCTGAAGATGGAGACCTAGGTTATAATTGCGACCATCTCTGCAAACCCGGCTCCCATTTCTCAAGCAGTTGCCATCACTCCAATTAAAGGTCTGCAGCTAGCAGACAGGGTAAACCAGTCATGAAGTCTGGTGTTTTACTTGACAGATAGTGCAGGGTGTTAGAACTAGTTCTAACTAGTAAAAAGTTAGACCCATTATGGAGATAAGCCTCATAAAGAAGAAAGTGTATATATAGCAAAAGTCTGATTATTAGAAGAAAGTAGGAGTTGCTGGAGTAAAAGTTCAGCTGTATTAAGTAAGGACAAGGAGCTGGAATACTGCAAAGGGATGCACCTCTATCTTTGAGTTTGTGTTAGATGGAAAAGGTGGACGTGGGATGGAGAGGTTTTTGAATTAAGGGTTTTGATAGATGCTGCTGCTCTGCATAGCTATTGGTGCTGCAGAATTTACCAAATGGAGCATGAATGAGGTTTACCTGGGCTTCTTGTTAAACTACATATTATCATGCACATGGAGGCTGGGGCACAAAGGAAGCATTTGAGAGGCTCTGGTGGGGCTAATGCCACTTTGAGTTGTAAGAGCCTCCTAGAATGTCAGGAAGGGCTTGAGAATGTACAGTGAAGGAGGTGCCAGAGCATGTGCACTGGGCTCAATCTGAAGATAATGATGAGATTAGGTAAGTTACAGTGTTGCTCAACAATGCAAGAGTTTAAAAAAAAATAGAAATTTTGAAATTGATTTAGGAAGTGAAGGTATATCCCACTTTTACACTGTGTATCCCACTTTTACAGTCATGAAAAAGCAATTTCTGTTCTAGGTTTGAAAATGAGAACAGTGTTGTTGTCTTTATTTTTAATAGGAGAGCTGGGTTTTGAAACTATTGTGGGTTTTTTTGTTGTTGTTGTTTTGTTTTTTTTTTTTTTTTTTTTTTTTTTTTTTTTTGCCTCTACCTTAGCCAAAAGGCTGAGAAGCAGTTCTGGAGAACAACGGTTAGAGCTTAGAAAGGACCAGGGAGATGATGGAAGGAGGAGAGCAGTGGATTTGTGGGAATGTTTGTTCAAGGAAACTTGTAGGAAGCAGGCCTTTACATTGAGATATAGAACAGATGATGCTGGTGCTCTGGAGGCTAGTGAACAATCCAAACTTTAGGACTCATGTCTAAGAATTTTGTATTTATTGGCAAGCTTGGTAAACTTTGGGTCTACCGGTCTATTGAGCTGAAGTGTGCACCAAAGTATTGAGTGGCTGGGACTGAAAGGATAGCTAGAAAACCATGTATGCCCTATTTGGTGCTTCTTGCAGAATGTTGAGCTATAAACACCATTCTTTACTTTTATTCTAAAGAATAACAGCTTATAATACAGAAGTAGGCTTAAGATGAGGAAGGTAGGTAAAAAGGTGACAGTGACAATTTTCGTGATGTATTTTTCTCTGAAGTACTGAAAACTTGTTAAATTGTTAAAAATAAGGTAGAAAATTGAAAGCTAAAATAGGCTTTGTTTTAAAATTTCTTTCTAAGGACAGAATTGCAGGATTCTGTATGTGTTATGAATGCTTCATGTTGATATACCTTTGGCAAAGCCTAAGAACCATATCACATTGTTGGTATGTCTTAGTCGAAGAAATGAGTTATCTGTGGTACTTGTGTTTCTTGAATATTTTTATTGTGTACTTTAATACCAGGTAATATTGGTTATATTTCTTTGGTTTTGTTTCAGAAGCCACTAATGATTCAGCAGTAGATGATGTGGTTGAAAATCATGTTGCAGACCAGCTTTCATCAGACATGACACCAAATGCTATGGATACTGAATTTTTAACATCTCCAACCAATCTTCTGGAACCATCAACCAATCATACCGAGGCCCTTGGTCATGAACATTTAGGAAATAATGACCTCACTGTTGGTGGATTTTTAGAAAATCATGATGAGCCAAGAAATAAAGAACAGAGTGCTGAAGAGAATATACCAGCATCTTCACTCAGCAAAGTAAAGAAGCCGGTGCATTGCAGAAGCCATGAAGAGGTCAACACTGAACTAAAAGCACAAATAATGAAAGAGATTCGAAAGCCAGGAAGAAGTATGTTGAATTAGAGACAAAATGATGATTTATGTGTTCAAATAAACAAAAACAAGTCAAATTCCCTAAAGCACACATCTGATTCTAGATTAGTTTTGAAGTACTTACTATATGACCTCTAAGATTTAAGTTCTTATTCAGCTAGAAAACTGAATAATTTTGGTGCTCATGGTACTGTATGTAGCTGCCATGACAGGGATCGAGAATCTTGCCTGTTACTTCAGCTAGGAGTTGAAATTTTAGTAGAACAGCTAACCCAAACAGAGGAAATACTAACTACTAAATGACTTGAGTGTTAGGTTGACAATATATCTAACAAGTAGGGCACCTGCGTAGCCCAAAGTTCAGTTCTCAACACCATCCTCTCTGCAAGCTGCTTCAAAACCTTTGTGTTCGTAAAGTTCCTCTCTACTGCCTACCAGCATGTATGAATTAGGATAGCTAGCAGGATGTGCTTTAGCCCAAAACCAAAGTCATTAAGACTGTCACATAAATGCAAGAGAATTCTCTGGGTACAAGAACTGTGAGTAGTATTGGCATCCATTCAGAATATAACAGGTCATCACTACTGTGATGGCGCAATGAAATACAATGGAAGGGTATTGAGGAACTTGTGGAATTTTGGATGGAGTTATATGTGAAAACTTGAAAGTGAAGGAGTACCTTTAACCTTTGAAGGTTTTCTCCTTTCATTGTGTTAGAGTTTAGAATTTAAACGATAAGGATGGTTTCTGTAAAAGCTATTTGCCTGTTTCTCTGGGTGACTGCAGAGCTCTTTAATTCATCTCTAAGCTGGCTTATTGGAAAGTTTTGGCAAAAAAAAAAAGTGCTTAGGAAGTTGTTTAATTTTTGGTGATGCATACTTTCATGCACATATCTAACAAGTAGTGCTGCTGTATCTGTGTTAACAAGTGGTAACATTTTTATGTGGAATATTTTTGTCTAAGTATATTTTTGTCTGAGCAAAGAAGCTGCAGGAAAAACATTGTGAGAATATAAATAAAGCCAGTTAATAATTTTTCCTTCTTTTGTTTTAAGAATATGAAAGAATCTTCACTTTACTGAAGCATGTGCAAGGCAGTTTACAAACAAGGCTAATATTTTTGCAGAATGTCATTAAGGAAGCATCCAGGTAAAGAAGCTTGTTTGTTACTGAATACTAGTGAATGGTTTTCAATTTGCATGCTTGATGTTTGAATGGCATTTGTGAGTTTATGCATGCATTTGGTTCATTGAAATGTGAATTTTCCCCTTTTAATTAAAAGCTATTCATTGAAACAGACACAAACCCTTGAGGAATTATGTATCTTTTCCCTTGTAAACTATTATATTACTTTAGAATTCTTGTTTTTTTCTTCTCATGCTTTTTGATGGTGTTGTATGTAAATCTTTAAATTTTTCTTCTTTCTATATTAACCTTGAAAGGCAATACTGTAACAATAGGAAGGTTGAGAACAACTGCTTTAGTTAGGATTTTTTTGGTTTTTGGTTTTTTGAGTGGCTTAGGCATGGGCTACTTGAATGATCAAGATAAGGCTGTACATTTTCATATAAGTCGAAATATTTTATCTGTCTTTTGTTCAGTTTATAGTGTACCTTGAATTTTTAGTGTAGATGATTTTTGAGACAGTGTTTTGCTGCATAGCCCAAGCTGGCCTCAAACTTAGATTCATTCTGCCTTAGTTTTCCAAATGCTGGGATTAGAGGCATGTGCCCCCATATTGATGCATCTTGGATCTACTTGTGTTCCTTGCAGCTGCCTTTCTGTCAGTTTTGTCTAGAATTTGGAGCCTGTTTGCATCATTTCACAAGCAAGAAAGGGAAAACAGAACATCCAGTATTCTTGAGATATTCTAAAAAGCATTAGTGATAGTAATGATTTTGTGCATATAATTTTTGCCTACTTATATTTGATAATTGAAAAACATTTTGTGCTATATATCCTGTGTTGTAGATACCTTATTACAATTGATGTCCTAGTCCTCAAATTGTAGTAGAGCACTGTGATTTTTAAATGCTACTACCAGTTTTCTATTTCCATTTTGTAGGCTCTTGCATTTCTTCCTTGTTTCCATTTTTTTTTTTTTTTTTTTAAACACTTAGTTTTCAAAAAGGACTGGATGGAGTAACTGCTTTGGGATCCAACTTTCGCTATAATGTTTAGAATCCTTGTGCATATTAGTATTCTTTTTTCCCTTTTCTTTTTCTTTTCCTTTTTGGTGGTAGGAAGAATGACCACTCTTCCATTGTTCCTAGGACTAGATAGTTCTTTTTAAGGAAAAACTGTAATTCTGTTCTGGTATAAAGAATAATTTACAAATCTTTCATCAAGTTTTCATCAAGTTTGTACCACTTTATTTTGTATGTTTGGTACACATGTGGAGGTCAGAGGATACTTTCAGGAGTTGAGATCGAACACTCAAGTCATCAAGGTTCAGGGTTGGCTGTAGGCTTTTTGAAAAAAAAAATATTTTTTTTGAGACTAATATTATGTCATTTCCCTCTTCCCTTTTCTTCCTCCAAAACCTTTCCCCCTTGCTTTCTTTCAAATCCATAGCCTTTTCTATCATTAATTGTTGTTACATGCATATATCTGTGTGTATGTTAAATATAACCTGCTTGGTCTGTGTAATGCTACTTGTTACTGTTTTAAGGGCTGACTGTTGGTTATTGCATAGCCAGTGGGTGTGTTCTACCTGGAGGAAGACTGTTTCTCCCACTCTCAGCATTCCTCGATGCCTGTTAGTTCTTTGTGTAGGGTTAAGGCCTCATAAGCTTCCTCTATCCACTTTAGCATTTTTATTCTACTTTAAATAATCTTTCCCAAAGCCAGTTTTTCTTTTTGAAATGTATGTGCTAATTTATGTATGCTATCCATTAAGAGATAATTGAGAATGTTCTTATTTTACTCACACAGGTTTAAAAAGCGAATGCTAATAGAACAACTGGAGAACTTCTTGGATGAAATTCATCGAAGAGCCAATCAAATCAACCATATTAATAGCAATTAAAAGAAAATAGAATGTGGCCACTTATTTCACTGTCTTCTCCAAATACAAAGTAAATACAAGACTGTTGTAATCTTGCATTCATTCTTTGACATGCATTGTTGGCTATTTGAAATACTAAAACAGTCTACAGATCCTTTCCATCATTTTACAGTGACCTTTTCATTTTGGTTTTTATTTTTGTAATGTGAAAAGTATCACTATTTTTTTTTTTTAATTTAACAAACTAAAACTATTCTCCAAATCCTCCGCTTGTCATTGGCTCTTGCGTGTCAGTTTCCCTCAGGTTATATTTTCTTAAACCAACCTTTAAAATTGTCAGCTATGTTAAGGTTGAACTTTGCCAAAAAAAAAAAAAAAAAAAAAAAAACAAAGAAAAAAAATTAAAAAGAAGTTACTTTGTAATTTTTGGGGAAAAAAAGCACATACATTAAGAACTAGGTAATGTTTTGTATATACAGTTATTTTGGATATATTATTGTAAGTTGTACAAATGTATTTTGAAGAATATTTAAGAAAAGCACTTTTGTTATTCCATCAATAAATGCTCTATTTTACTCTTGTGTGGTTTAGGAAATAATCACATTTAAAGTAACTACTTAAAAATATTCTAAGACAATGGAATTTTAAAGGCCTTGCTTTTTAGCATTGAAAAAACACAACTTAATATTTGTTAAACTATTGTAATTATATGTTACATAACCTGCATTGTCTTTTTTACTATATGCTCTTAGTTTTTGTTGGCTATGCCAACATACTCCACTCTTACCTGGATGGCTATGCCTGTGACTGACAGACATGTTTTAAAAAAGAACTTTAAAAGTAGATTACTTGGGGTATTACTGTTTTTTTAGCACCCTTCAACCTTTTTCACAGGATTTGGATGACACTCAAGTTCAGCCATTAGTTAGGGCATGGAGGTTTAGGGTATGTCACATTCTGAAACAGTGTGTAGTAATTTGGTCTCTGTCATGCTTACATGAGTTCGTGACATGATGATTCAGAGGGGATCTCTTGGTTCTGACACTGAGACTGTTGTTTAGAAGATGACTGCTCATTTTGTTTTCCCTTGATTTGCAAACGATAGGGATATCTGGCACTTAGGTTCTCCATCCTCACAGGGCTGCACACCCTTAGAAAGGATGCCACCCTATGTCCTGACTCATGCACACATTCATAGATCACTGCTGTGCCTTTTAGTGGTTTGGGGGGATCCAGTAGTGAAGGTTAGGAATTTTACATTTGGAATAATTGAGGTGGGAAAAGCTTCCAAAATTATTTTTTTAATTGAATTATTTTTAGATTAATACTATTTGGAAATCACACACCCTTACAAGAAATTGTAAATACTTATGAACGAAAGCATACATAGAAAGAACATTCTTGAGATTTGCTATTTTAGTCAAGGGGATTTGAAAGTCTCCCAATACTGAAGACAAACCCTGTAAAGAAAAAGAAGCATTTAATGTGACTTGTAGTATTTTCATATAACAGTTCATTAAACATTTCTTACCTCTTCAAAATACCTGGAAATAGTTGAAGATGTAATTTAGAGACGGAATTATTGAAATAATTGCCTGTAGTCACAATGCTAAATTCAGTAGGAACTATACAAAATCCAGATTGACTTTGTGGTTGTGAATTTCATGTATTAAGAGTGAGATGAGTGGGAACACTGGAGTCATTTAAAGATACTTAAAGATAGAAATTATATAAGTCCGAGCAGTTGGGGAGCTGTCCTTGGAAGGGTCCTCATTTCACAGGCTGCTGGTGGAACAATGCTCAGATCTTTTGTTTTTCCTACATTTTACCTAATGAACCAGCAAGGGAGTGAAAATAAGATTCTTCTGTCTCTGCTCACTGCCCCCCCTCCCCTTATCTGCCTGGCATAATAGTACTCTTTACATCTTTTTTTGGGGGGGGGCTCTTTACATCTTAATACTAAAACTTAATATCAAAACTAAAGCTTAAGATCCATCTCAGACTTTTGACTTTTAAAAAATGGTGGGCAAGTTATTAAACTAGTGAAATTTCTACAGAATCCTTGTCAGCAAAGGTAGGAGTGGGGGCGCATCTGGGGGTCGGTATTTTTAAGTCTTTGAGGTCATGGAATGATGCTGTGCTGGACAGGTGGTACTCTCCAAAAGCTTAATGTTGGAATTTTTAGGTAATTTCTCTTAGCGTTCTGTGTGTTCCATTTGTTTTAACAGTGAAGGCTGAGACTTTTTTTGTTTTTAAGGTTTTTATTCATTCAGTGTTTTGCCTACATGTATTTACATGTGCACCACGTGCATGCCTGGTGCCTGTGGAAGCCAGAAAAGAAGGTGTCAGACCCCCTGGAACTGGAGTTGCATATTTTGAGTTTCCCTATGGGTGCTGGGAGCCATCTTCCGGCCCCAGCTGAAAGTTTATAATCCCTTCAGTAATCTTATCAGAAAAGTAGCCACTTTGCTTTGGGTAATGTGAACAACCACTCTCTGGAAGGAAAGGAAAAGCCACAGGCACTAAGATTTGTGGTGAATTAGGGTACAAGTTTTTGATTAGACCTAAATTCTTATTTTGATTCCTAAAGCAGTTAAAATTTATACTCTGGAAATTGTCAAGTGTCTTTTTCTAGTTCAACAACTTTACAAGGTTTTTCATACAGTTGAATTTCAAGAATCTGTTACTTCTAATTGTGCCCTTTATTGCATATAAGCTTTTGTAGTGGCCCTTCCTAGAAGTTCAAGATTAGTCCTCCCTCTTGGTTTGAGGGTTTAAAACTCCATCTTTTTGTTGATGGCTTCCACCCCTTCCTTCCCTCTCCCTCTCTCTCCCTCCCTCTCCTCCTCTCTCTTCTCTCTCTCTTGCTCTGAGTGATCAGTGCCATTTTTGTCTATTCGCAGTCAACTGGGGTTGGGGTGATCATGGCGAAATATTAAGTGGACATTTTCTGTTATGAACCCTCTTCCTAAATGACCCCCAAGTAGATTATTTCCAGGGAGTGATTATATTCTTTTTATCATGAAAAATGTTCCTTTGATTTCTAGCACAAGTTATGGCAGTATACAAATGATTCTCAGATAAAATGATGTTGACAGTATTTCCTTTTAACAATCTGTGTTAAACTATGCTAATTTTTATTCTAACTAATATTTTTTCTTTCCATGAATAAATAATATCTGATGTTTAGTTACAGTAGATCCACCTTGGCTTGATTTTTATTAATCTTGTTTCATACTGTTGTTTTAAACACTACTGAGAATTGCCAACAACTCTTAACTGAGAATCTCTTCCTTCTGAGGCCAGTAATTGGGGGAGAACAATTAAGGAAAAAAATAATTCAAAGACTATTTTCACAGTTGCTGAATTTTAGGGATATCTGCTTCTTCTGTTGTGCTACTTAGGCTAACCTCTGCCTGCCATCTTTGCACTGATAACTGTTTTGTAGTGGTGTGGAAAAGTACTATGATAAGTGTTTGGTTTTTGAGAAAGGCCTGCAACCAGCATAGAAATCTGCATTGCTAAAATGCTAGTAGTGTTTCTGGTGACTTCTGTGGCATATCTTGGCCTGAAGAAACCATCTTTTCTAAAATGATAGGACAGCAACAAGGAAGGCAAGATTTAATTGATTTGTGATTTCATGACTTTTTAAGTATCTAAAGCAGACATCTACTCATCTGAAAAAAGTCAGCATTAACTACAAATAAATAGAATGAAAAAGTAAAAGCCAGAGGTTCCTTTGTACTTCGAAATCACAGCAGCTAGGAAAACACCATAGAAAGCACTAGAAGAAATGCTTATTTGAGTTAAACATTAATTTGACTTAATGGATAAGTAAAATTAGATTGCTAGAGAGATGAAGATAAATGTCTGCATCCAAATTTTAAGAGTCAGTACCTGTGCTGTGTTCTCTCAGAAGAAAGATGAAGGGCCGATCTGCTTTAAAAGCAGGAGTCCGCGACCTCCTTAGCAGCAGCACAGCTGAGAAGAGAATAGACCCTGTCACGTCTCCTGTCACTGCTCCTGTCACTGCGAAGCACATACAGATGTAGATACACAGGAACTAAACTATGTATCTCAGTGACATTTTACTGTGTAGTACTATGAGAGTGCAAATGGTGAAATTAAAGAGGAAAGATACTACTTATCCTGTGTCTCATTTTTTAAGGTATTCCATGAAATATCTTCCCTCAAAGGTGAAATACTAATGGGGCAATGATACTTTGTTAAAATTGGTATCAAAGCTTTTCAAAATGATTTTTGCCTTTTAAAAAAATGCTACATCACACCTGTGCTTGGGCTTAAGTGGTGTGACTTACAACTGGAGTCAGCTGGGCAGACTGGCTAGACTGGGTAGACTGGGTGAGCTGCTCCATTGTGCTTAGTGCTTGGACTTGTGGATGTACCTGTGGCTGCAGATGACTTGGTGCCCTCCTCTGAAAGCTCCATCTTGGCCTTGTGAGTTGCTTCAGAAACATAAAAGCCATCTTGGCCTAATTTGCAAATGACAGAAACAAAGTGATTTATTTATGTTTTCTGTACACATCATGTATGTGTTTAAAGACTCATAGGTAAAACTTCAAGTACTCAGTGCTGCAAGAATACACAGAGTGATTATAGAAAACTGCCAAGCTTAATTATTGTTCTACAACTCTCAAAAGTTTATTCACTAAATTTAATATGGCTTCACCCTTAGTAGAGACTGAACTCAAAGTTAATTTAAAATAATATTAAAGTCTTTATATTCTAAAACTTAGGTATGTTATTAGGCTCTCAAGAATATGTTATAAAATAGATTCTATTGCCCAGGAACAACTTCAACAAGCTTTTGCGATAACTTCCCCTTGACTGTCTTCTTGGGCTGTAGCTTTTAAGAAGACACTGAAGATTAAAGTCATAGGATTATATTATGAAGATAATCCAGTGTTAGGAATGCCCACTGTTCCATGACTACATCCTGGGGAGCTGGCTGTGCTGCTTGGCTAGTTAGCTCACCTTAAGGATTGGAACCTGCTGAGAACTGTGAGGTTATAGCTATATGTATGTGCTGACAGTTTCAAATATAAGCTTAGCAATTAGTGATGAGAGAACTTAGAAGGCTCGGCAGATTTACACATGTAGCCATAAAAGGTGAAGGTGGGCATGTAGAACTAAGACTAAGCTGCCCAGCCCTTCCGTTTCAGAGGAAGTACTAATGGGATGCCGCACACCCCATGAGAACTGAGAATATCCAGGTTTCAGACCCAAGGCCCATTTCTACTCAACCCCCTCTATTCAAGAAGCTGCTCTGTAGCACACCATCAGAGAGACGTGCATAATTAACAGTCATTTTGATGTATTTTGGGAAGCTTTCCTTGTTAGATTGGTCTGCACTAGTGCACATACAAGGAGATGGCCCATCGAGGTCATATGAAACTAAAAAGGAGCCTAGGATACAGATCGTTGTGTATCATCATTGCAAGGAAACAATGGGATATCAGGAAATGGGAATTTTCACTGTAAGGAACAACTGTTTGCTGGCAGTAGAGGATGGGCAAGTGCCACAGGAAGGAAGTCAGTAGATATTCACCCTGGTACCAGTGGGGAATCAAATTGTTTAACTGTGGTCTTTTTCTGCTTGACTTTGATTGAGAGAAGAAACAAGATTTTTCTGTTAATGATTATTAGCCCCTTCTAGCCCACTGAGCAAATAGTGCCAAAATTAAAGAGTTTTATAAAAAGCATCTTTGTCAGTTGAGGTTTTACTGTCTGTGACTTCATTACTATTAACACTGTCTGAACACTTTGATGTGATTATAAATGAGAACAGCTTCCCTCTGAAACCCCTTGGCAGCTAACATACAGCAAATCCAAATACATCTTCAGTAAGCTAGGTTGGGCTGTTTTCAGTGTGTCTTTGAAAAGGCAAGTGAATTGCTTAAGTAGCTTTCCCACCCCACCAGATTGTAATAATGACCCGGTAATTGTTGATGTTTGCATAACCATAGCTGAGTCTACTCATAGCTAAATGCCACCAACAGAACATCTTTGAAGTTCTTTGGGGAGAGTTGACATTTCATGACTAGTAGACTAGTCCATGTTCTTCCTTTATCTTATATTTTGACTGTAGTTTGCTCACTTTTGTCATGTGACTATTGAAATATGCCACTAATGAAATAACCAGGAAAAGCTGAGGGGTTTTCTTGGCCTTTGATTATCTGAGTTGTTGGCATCCATCTGCTTAGTGCCATTAAAGGTCACAACCCGTTTCCCCAAAATTTGCCCTCAGAATCATTATAGGTGTTGTTCTGTAGAAAAGGCTCCTTTAGTTAATGTGGGAGATGCAGGTTAATGGAGCCCACATTGTTGTGAGGATGAAACTTTCTTGGAGCTGCTGATTTGTTAATGTTTGCAGAGTGGTTCCAGCAGGCCCGCAGTACATAGCTTTCGACCCTGAAGCAACCCTTACCTCCCGTTTATCCCAATTTACTAACCAAACTTTCTGGAAAGCATGTCCCAGCCAATTACATGTTGCACAGCAAATGTGAGGGGTTCTGCTGCCCTCCTTTCCATTCCTCTTCTGTGGCACTGCCTATTAAGGATTACTCTTCCCTCTTAGACTGTTAGCTCTAGCAAGTAGAAATTACCACATTTACTTTATTACTTTGCCCAACTTTTAGAATAATGCTTAGTCCATACACGTCAAAGAAATGATGGTTGTGTTTCTCAGGAAGGACGAAGCACAAGGATTTAATTCCCACCCCTTTGGTTGGTAGATACAATCATTCTTTTGTATACTGTTGGTCACACATTTGTAAATCATTGTCTGCATTTTGACCTCAGTTCCTCATCAGGACAGAGATGGGACATCATTTGCTTCCTTTTGTCTTTCATGCTTTGACTTAGCTACTACGAAATGAAGGGTAGGTGTGTAATGTACCATTGCAGCTAGCCCAGGATATAGAAAGTGTTGGGAAGAATCTTGGGTGGCTCAATTAGCTTCAGCTGGTTACTTTCTCCGTTCTTCCCTTTTTCTGTGCAGTGTTGTTTGTACTTCCTATGGCCCAAGTTAATTTCGTGCACTCTAGATTACTCAAAGTCATTGCATATAGTAGCTTAAATTTCTTACTGGCAGAAATTGGAAGCAGACTATCTGCTTATGAAAGCAAAGACAAAGATAGTTTCAATCTTAAGAGTTTTGAGTTTGTACACACAGAAGACCTCCTCAGCTGGAGGTGTGAGTTTGTATTAAAGCCTGCTGATGGTCCTTAAGGAAGGGGAATGTTCAGAATAGGTGCCTCACTGTTCTCTCCAGTGAGGAGGAGATTGGAACAACTCAATAACATTGTAATCTGTAGAGATAAAGGTGTCAGTGGGGAGAGAGAGCTATATCTGGGCTCAGGGGAGCTTTGAAATACTGAGCTCTTAAACAAAATGATGCCAAGAAGGAACAGAGAAGTGATTTTTAGCTGGGAAAGGAGAATTGTGAGTGATTCTGGCTTTGGGACCGAATGGAAAGAAAAGCTTTGTTGGGCTTCCTCAGTAATCCAAAATGTGGTGACCCTTTGTTAATTGAAGAGAGGATGGCTCTGTTTTCTGATCATTTCTTCTCTTGTAAAAACTGCAGATAAAGGTGCTTGCCTCAAATCTGATGACCATGGTTCAATCCTTGGAACCCACATAAAAGTGGAAGGAGAGAACTGATGTCACAGAGTTGTGACCTGCACATGTGTGGTTCATGTGCTCCCTCTAACCCAGCTTGCACACAAAATTTTTAATTAAGACATTGGGTAATACAATTGGTGAGGTGGGTGGTAGCCTCCCATTTGTTTCAATGGCCTTCTCTTTACAATAGGCAGAAGCTCACTTTGGTACTGGCATGAGTCATCTTGGATTATGTTTAAAGAAGGGCATCAGAAAGCAATATCTTAGTTGGCAAGCTATATCTATGAAGGGGTAGATATTTAAAACATTTGACTATCACTAAATGTCTGTCCCAGTGACTCAGCATCACTACCATAGCAAGAAAACAGCCTTATTTTTATTATTACTTGTTTTTTGAGACAGGGTTTCTCTGTGTAATAGCTCTGGCTCTCCTGGAACTCACTCTGTAGACCAGGATGGCTTCAAATTCACAGAGATCCACCTGCCTCTGCCTCCTGAGTGCTGAGATTAAAGGCATGCAACACTACTGCCTGGCAGATTATTTTTAATAAGTGTAAGCTGCTTAATTAATAAAAGCAGGTGTTGGGTCATTGTTTGCTGACTTCTTTATTACTGGAACAAAACAGTGGAAGAAGATTGTTGGGTCTCATCAGTAAAAAGCATGAATAAAGCTCCATATTAACACATGCTGAATTATTAAATAGGCCAGATCTGTGAGCCTATAATTATGTTGGTTTGAACAAATGTAAGGAAATGAATTGCATTAGATGTGAGCCATCTCAACGGTACTCATAAGACTCAGCAACAGGCTGAGGTGATGGCTCATTTGGTTAAGAGCTTGCTGTACAAGCATGAGAACCCAAATTTGATTCCTGAACCCATGTTAAAAAGCCAAGGGACATTGTGCATGCATCCAGTTCCAACACTGTATGGGCTAGGAGGAGTACGGGAGAAAGGAAGTGGAGTCCCATAGCTTGCTGCCCAGTGGAGCCTAATCCCAGTGAGAGACCCTGTCTCAAAAAATGGGATCACTCATAGGCCATGGGTATTTTTGCTTATAGTGGGACTGCAAGATTCATGTGAGGACCACTGCTGTTTAAGGGCACAAGATTGACATTTGAGTATGTCTTTCTCAGATGCTGGGAAGAAAGGCTGGAAATTATGAATGAGCAACAGTAAAACGGATTAGTGCAATAGTGTGGAAGAGAGGGCCAAGAATAACCTCAAAGCTGCCCACCCCCTGGGTACTGAATCTAGAACCCTGAAGTTTTTAGTTTGGATGACTAAAAGAGTAATAGAATCTCCACTAGCTACAGGGATACCATAGCTGAGTTCTGAAGCCTTGAGAAGACAAAATGATGATTGCTCATAATTGAAGATAGAATTTCGTAACTTGGCTGTCCCTCCTTGCCTTTGATCATTTTGCTGTTGTGTTTTTACTTTCTGTTAATAAGGAAGATTTCTGGTTGAAATTTTCAACTAAGCCAGCAGTATTGCCTTTTGTCTAATTGTATATCAAGTATTGTGGACAGGAGAAAACTTGACTGTTATCTATGTTTAGATAAGAGGTGGTAGAGGGGTTTTTGAGAGGGTGTGTGTGTGTGTGTGTGTGTGTGTGTGTGTGTGTGTAGATGGAATCCAGAACTTTGTGCATACTCAGCAAGCACTCTACTAGCCCCAAGATAGCAAATTTTTAGTACTCTAATTAGATATGTCCTGCCATGCTTTATTTACTAAGTAACTTGCAGTTGTTCTGTCTGGTCACACCTAAAGTACAAGCCAGGACTTGAAGATCAAAGTCCCATTATTTTCTGTGATTAAGGAAAATTCTGAGCAAAGTTTTGGTACCAGGTTTTCCAGTGGTCTGCTGTTTAAAATGGTAACTTTCAAGTTCATCAAGTAAAGGCAATGTCAAGACCAATGAGAATGTCTGCGGCAGTGTTCTCTCCTCACAGATAATCTGTAGAGTAGGTAGACACAATCCAGGGCCTTTTGAGTTGGCAGAAGTTGAGACAGTGGTTCCCTCAAGAAATTTTCAAAGTAGATGTTACCATTCATTTCCCTTTCATGTGCAATGTAAGCTCAGACCATGGGCAAACATGGCCCCTATTGATCATCAGTAGTATGTCAACTATGGGGAAAAAGTTGAGCATGGATACTAAGAAGAAGAGCGTTTTAAGGCAAAATCATGAAAGCACAGAAAGTTTGAGGAATGGATGGAGGAAAGGTTTGTGCTTAGCTCATTACAAAAGGCAGGCAGAGTTAAAGGCAGCCAGGAAAGACTAACGGGTAGAAACGGGATGACCATGGTGCTGATGAGAAAGTAGAAAGCATAATGAAGGTTCTGGTGCTGTCTCTAGTCTTCATGAGAGTCTGGTCATGGCAGAGATGAGGAGGGCTTGTTGCCTATGGCCACCTGCTCCACTGTGAAGGTGGTTTCCAATTCCAGCTTCATGTCCCCAAGGAGCATTCCTCACACACCAAATTCAATCAAAACCTGACTGTTAGCAGAGGCCCCACATTCCTAAATAAAGCCAACCACTTGATTCTGTTATGCAAGTGTTTACTGTCAACAGCTCTATGGAAACAATAAAGGTCCTTTAATCAGAGTATAACAAAGCTGTCCCAAACACAATTCCTCCAAAAGATTGGAAGAATTGAAAAATTACCTGAAATTCCTTTCAAGTTAGCTTTGAGTGGGTCAAACAGATCAGTGATACCCCATGATCTTAAAATGCTTTTTAAGTCAAACTGATTTTGGATCCGAAACCTGTAAAACAAAAGCAACCTGTCAATTGCTATTTAGAATTCACACTTCTTTCATATGAACTGAATCAAATATGAGGTTCTAACTGGAGGTCAGTGCACCCTGGACTCCCACCCCACTGTATTTTTCATTGTTCCTTCCCTTGAGTCATCCCTGGGACTAAGCTGACTCCTCTGGGCTTTCCCCCTGCTTTGTCTATACTGCTCATTTGTGATAGCCCTGTTTCCCTTGATAAACAACTCTCTATTCCTCAGCTGTTACCTTCCTACTCAGGTTTTCTGTTTCAAAATGGTACTAGAGATAGGACCTCCTGCATACTCAACAAATATTCTATTACTTGACCTCCACCTCTAGCCTAGTGACTCCTGGTTCTTGAAGCCCAATTTGCAAAGTTGTACTCTTAGGGTATACAGAACAGTCTGCTTCCTACTAATATTCTTTATGACCCCATAAATGACCTGAGAAGAGCAGCTGCCTCAGCTCATTTTTATTAATAATATTTAGTGAGTGCTGATGCTATGCTAGACACTATGAGAACTTCATAGAAATTAATTCATCTTCCTATAATGGCTATTATTCCTTATGCAGTAGATGGGAAATTCAAGGCATAAAGTATTTAAGAAACGTGCCCAAGAATGAGTATGCAATGCACCTAGTTCAAAGCTGGGCTATGGGTGTGTGGAGCCAAGTCACAATCACTTGGACTTCACTCTTGACATTTGGGTAGAATCTCAGACATAATTGATGCAAAAAAAAAGTAGCTTTAGTACCTTGTATATCTTTTTCTACTGTGTAACATTTTCATGTTTGCTGTGTGCAGTATGTGCCTTTGATGTGCAGCAGAGAATGAACTCAGCCTTGAATTGCCCAGTAACCACTGAGAGCAGAAAGAATCAGCACACCAACATTTCCCCAGGACAAAGCACTTATTTGCTGTTGAAGAAGCCTTCAAATAGACTGCTATTGCTATTTGTCTTTGAAAATAAAAAAATTGAAATATAATTCAAACCGTCTTTTGTATAAACCATACATAATTTTAGAAAAACAAAAAAGTATGCTGACATATTTCAAACTATTTGGCTCACTTCTGGAATTGTCTTAAGCATAGAAAACATCCTTTTTGAAACCCATAAGCATTAAATGTAATGATTAGTACTATGAACCTGGCTTTTTAGTTTGTTTCTTCTCACCAGGAACTAATTGCTTTACAGACTCAGACAAGTTGCCTCTATATCCTTATTGTATTTTTATGTGAAATAAGCATGGCAGTAGTAAAATCTAAATAGAGTTGTGACAACTAGGTGAAAATTAGTGTTCAGTACAATGCCCAGCATGGCCTAGGCACTTAGCATTGTGTTTTAACTGTGGTTTCATAATAATATTAAGAAAGTTAAAGTCTGCTTGAAACCAAAGATGTGGTGGGTGGGAAAACTGAATAATATGTTTTAATAAAAGCGACAAAAGTCAGTCTGATTTCAAAAGATTCCAATGATATCCCTGGAATGTTTATGTTTATGAAAGCAGAACTACAAGAAATGGCACAGTAACTTGAGCAAACAGCAAAGAAGCTGCCTGCCCCATACAGAAGCTAGGAATTAAAGCAAGATATTAAAGAAAGTAAAGCCATGTTCCATGAATTCTCAACAACATAGTAGGATTGACTTGAAATAAATTGAGTCCAAAATGAATTCAGCATCACAGAAATCCTGCCACGACCAAGTAGAATTTATTGCAAGAATGCAAGATGTGTTTAAGACATGAAAATAAGATAACACATGTTAATAAAGTAAGGGATTATGATCACATTGTTATCTTAACAGGTGCAGAAAAAGCTTGTATCAAAATCTAACACCTTTTCATGATTAAAAACCAACAGGACTTGGGGGGAATGTTCAGTGATAGAACATGTGCCTAGCTTGATTGAACCCCACTACTGAAAACAACAAAAAATAATGCCCAAATAAAACACTCCAAGAAGCATCAAATATTCAGTCAACTTGGGACATGTGATAACTCAAGATGATGAAGAGTGTCTACAAAATCCTAACACCTAGCACCTTTCAAGTTCCCATCTAAGATAAAGAACAAGACAAGAATACCACTATCATCACTTCTATTTGGCCTTGTGCAGGAGGATGGGAAAAACAGTTACACAAGACTGATAAAAGCATCCATATCAGAAAGGAGGTGAAGCTAGGGATATAGCTCAGTTGTTACAGCACTTGCCTAGCATGCAAGAGGCCCTGAGTTCAATCCCCAGTACAATGAAAAAAAAAAGTTGTAGGATCAAATAGTTTTAAAAAGGAAGGAGAAACTATCTGAATTCAGAGATAACTTGATCTTGTACACATAAGAAGACTCTTCCTAAATCTCTTGATTTCTAGATTGACTGGTGTTCTAGGAGCCACAATGACACAACACTATAGAATAAAAGAATCTATGCCCATAGAATCAAACAGAGTTCAGAAATAAATTCATATATTCGGCAATCAATGCTGACAGTGATGTCAAGACAACATAATGAAGGAAAGAATGATCATTTCAACAAATGTATAGGATATTGGGTCAATCACCACATTGTAACACATGAAGATTTGGCCTCTTTACACCAAGTGCCATTGACTCGCAAATAACATGGGCTTCAACGGATGGGTCCACTTAACATTGAGTTTTCTTTTCTTTTTGGAAAATTTCCAACAATTTGGAAACTTCACTGGTGAATTATGCAGCTTAGGAAAATAATGCTGAGGGCATGTCATAGATATATAACACTTATTGTCTAATTTGCCATTCACTACCAGAAGATAGGTGCAAACTTACTAGAACAAGTTAAGCCTAACATACACTTAGAGACTACCACAGGCATCAGCTTCACTCTCTTACTCTTGAAAATGTGAGCAGATGCAAAGATGATTTGCGGAGGCATAACTGCATAAGATTGCCACCAGCCTATTAGACTGCTATGGTAACTTTAGAGCCTCTTCTGTTGAACATCTGCAGTGCCCCCCACTATTCCATGCTGATCATCTCTGTGAAGGTGGCCAGTTAGAAGTGTTCTCCCATGGGCCTCATGTATTTTTAACTATACATATTGCACACAAAATACATACCGTGTGACTACTTGATATTGGGATAAGAACAGTCAAGAGCAGGGCTATTAGTAGTTGTGTGGGAGCCAAAAGTTATATGCAGCTTTCCTACAGCAAGGGAGGTTGGTGTCCCCTGGCTCTCAAGTTGTCAAGGGTACAATAGTTAATTCACAGTGGATCAAAAACCTAAAGTGGGAGTGAAATCAATAAAACTCTTAGAAAAACTAGGCACAGATCTTTGAGACTTTAAGCAGGCAATGGTTTTTAGGAATTGCACAAAACAGTCTCTTCTAGAAATGGCTGCATAGGCAAGACCAGGACAATGACAGTATTAATGAACCTGTTAACGTGGAAGGGGAAATTTTTCTCTGGGCCACACCCCCAGGTAAAGAACTAGAGGCAGATAATGACTGTTGTATATAACAATAATAGCATTTGAGGAGGGGCATAGGAGGGGCTCAAGAGAGGATAGCTAGGAGGGCCTGGAAGGAGGAAAGGGAGGGAGGAAAGTGATATTATTCCATTCAATTAAAACATTTAAATAAAAAAATAGTGTATACGTGCACTATAATATTAGTCAGCAACTAAAAAGATGAAATATTAAAACTTTGTGCTAGGTGGAAAAAAGCCCAATAAAAAGGCTAACACTAGTTTTGATTTGCATGAAATATCCCTAAAAGACAATCCATAGAGATAGAGTAAAATAGTGGTTGCCTAGCAATGAGAAGTGATGACTAATGAATATGGGTTTCTTGTTAAGGTAATAAACATCTTTCAGAACTTGGAGTTGTTTGGGGGTATAGCTCAGTGGATAGAATGCTTGCCTTGCATGCATGAAGCCCCAGCACTGCATAAGCCAACTGCGCTGGTGTACATCTATGAGTCCAGCATTTAGGATCCAGAGACAGAAGGATTAGAAGTTTAAGGTCATCCTTAGCTATGTGAAACACTTTCAAAAAATTATAATTAGTGTTCATGACTGCACAATTTTGTAAATATACTAAAGAAGACATGCAATGTGGATCTATCTATCTATCTATCTATCTATCTATCTATCTATCTATCTATCTATCTATCTATCTATCTACCTATCTACCTACCTATTCATTGAGACAGGGTCTTGCTAAATAGCTATGGCTATCTTAGAACTAACTGTGTAGACCAGGCTGGCCTCGAACTCACAGGGATCTGCCTGGATCTGCTTGCCTCTGTCTCCCGAGTGCTAGGATTTAAGGTGTGCACTACCACACTCAGGTAATGTTCGGGATTTGAAATGTGCACTTTAAAAGTGACTTTTATGAGCACTATATCCCATTGAAAAGAGAGAGAAAATGTTCTTAGAAAAGTGTTGCACATCATTGTGGCATGCAGCTTCAAAGAAGAGCAAAACTCGCTGTGGATGTATGAGTTAAGTAGTTTGAATATTGCTTGGGTACATCCCTACAGGTTCTTGTGCTGGAAGCTTGGCTCCCAGGGTAGTGGTATTGAGTTGGTGGGGCCTTTGGAATTCGGGGCCTAATAGAAGGTAACCACTCAGGGCAGCCCTTGGGAATATCAACATAGTTCTGCTGTTGTTTTCCATGAAAGTGGTTCTCAAAGCAAAAGAGGAAGTCAGACCCTAAATCTCTCACATCCTTTCTTGCCCTGTGAAGGCTTCTGCGGCCATTTATTTCATCATCCATGTCATGATACAGAGCAGAGGAGATGCTGGTTCTGGGCTCTTAGACTTCTGGAACTATAGTGTGGGTATGTGTGAGAAAGAGAGACAGAGACAGAGCCAGAGAGAGATAGAGACAGAGAGATAGAGACAGACAGAAACAGAGACAGACAGACACAGAGCCAGAGAGACAGAGAAACACAGAGAGAGACAGAGATATGATAAACTGAAAAGTAAACTAATTAGATCTGGATTTAGACATATACCTTGGACCATGGTAGACACAACCAGGTTCTTGTTTTTTTAGACAGGATCTCACTATGTAACCCTGTTGGCCTGGGCTGTTCTATATTCCTAAACACATTACTTTCTAGTTTCAGGCATTGTTTTTCAAACCAATACAAAGCAGGCTGATACAAATCATATCTAATATTGTAATGTTTTCAGTATTCTCCTCTATAGACCTAGAACCAAACATTTTATTCATTAAATCTATATTTGACAATGTTAGTCATTTCTGTGGAGTATGGGTATGATTGCATGATGATGGCTATAAATGACCTATAAACATCCATTCTTAGTTTTCTTGATTATTTAGTATGTTAAATAGTCTTGATGAAAGCTGAGGATCCATATACATTTATTTTATAAGTAAATGATTACTCTGGGAGGCAGCATCATAGTTCATCTAAGAGTACTGCTTGGTGATGTTCAAACTCAAGCACACCCACTGGTGTGCAACAACACAAATTACTGTCTACAAGGTGGAACAGTTTTGGGCTCTCATTCAGTAAAATCTATATGATGACCACAGAGCACATTGTACTAAATGGTGAATGAATAATTTGAGGGAGCCAGAGGTAAATTCTTACTCAAAAGCTGGCTTAGTAGTGGGATGTAATGGCACATGCCTTTCAACCTGGGCACTAGAAGCAGAGGCAGGTGGATCTCTGTGAGTTTGAGACCACCCTGATCTACATAGCAAGTTCCAGGCTAGCCAGAGCTACATAGTAAGAATCTGTCTAAAAATCAAGTAAACAAGCAAATCACAAGAACCTGACTGTGTCTATCATGGTCCAAGGTTCATGTCAAAATTCAAACCTATAGCAGTTTTAACTTTTTGGTTTATTCCCTAAAGCAATGTTTCTCAACCTTTCAATATTGTAACCCTTTAATACAGTTCCTCATGTGGTGGTGATTCCTCCAACCATAAAATTATTTTTTTTCTATTTCATAACTGTAATTTTTCTAGTTATGAATCATAATATAAATGTTTGCTATGCAAGATATCTGATATGGGACCTTCATGAAAGGGTTGATCCCCCAAAGGGGTCGTGACCCACAGGTGTAGAACTACTGCCCTAAAGAGTTTACAACTAGGCTTTCTGGTTGGTTGGTTTTGTTTCTTTGGTCTGCTCTCTCTCTCTCTCTCTCTCTCTCTCTCTCTCTCTCTCTC